CAGGGATGGGCAACTTTGATAGTGACGAGGGCCAGCATTTTTTTCTCTTTTATACCAAGGGGCCAGATTACTAATCCACGTCCACACACCTTTTACACCGTCTTACTCAATTTCCTTTTTATTGAAGGAAATTAAATTATAACTAATGTCATTTGTTTTTAAAGATTTTAAGTATAAAACTTGTGCAGTTATGCTAATTCAGAAGGAAAACTTTGTTGTCAGTGGACAGAAATATTACCCCGACAAGCCAATGTAAACATTTCAATTGCATTGTCTGTAAATTTGCAACAAACAAATATACAGAGGTCCTTTTTTTATTAGTAGCCTACAGAACATTCTCAAAACAACCTAAAAGGACAGTTAAAAAGGGCTTAATTAAAAAAAAAAAAGTATTCTAAATGGTACCAGGATTTTTAAAATCAAATTTAAGACCTTAGTCAAAAGTATCAATTATTATATTAATTTAAACAATTATTATCAATTAATTATTATATTAAATAACATATAAATATATCTTAGTGTCTTAATTGTTTAGATTTTTATAATGCATTAGCTTTTTGTCGATCCACTGGTTCACATTTAAAAATATGTAGCAAAAATAGCAGACGGGCTTATTGAAAAAGCTCATTCGTTCTCTGCCAGCAGGTTTCGCTTTCGGAACTGCGCATATAGTGGTTTCCCCGGTAACCGCAGTACACAAAACTGACGTGCAGCGCTCAACTTTATTCAGTGAAATCATAGCCTTCTGAAGTTTAATCGTCATATTAATCCATATAGCAATTCTTGTCTTTCCGTCCCCAAAGACCTCTTATAATTTAGACTTTTTGTACCATTTAAGAGTTTGCATGGCCTTAAATGTAAACAATTTAACTGAAGATGTTTAAGGACCCACGGAAACCCTAATAAGAACATAGTCCAGTGCAAACATTTCTGTCATGCATTTGCCAAAAAGCTTATTGTCCTTACACCAGTAATTTTGTGTACTAAAAGACACGCATGCATATATATGTATATGTTTGTTTGTTTGTTTTTATTAGTTTTTTACATGTTTTTAATTTCTGAAGTACAATTAATTTAGATATTTTGTCTAAAAGGATGGTAATGATACAACTCCCCTAATATCATAATGAAGAAAAAAGTTCATTAACTATTAACTAAGTTTATTAGCTTCAATAACAGAGTGAAATTGTTGAAAATAAAACCTTTTTTTCATTTTTCATTCATTTTTAACAAAACTGTTTTGCTGTTTATATTTGAAAAACTGTGTTATCTGGAAAAGTCATATTGTTGGGCCTTATATGACACTTTTTAGTAAAGGTAGTACAATACCAGGTGTGACTTTCCAAAAACTTAATGATTATGAATTAATAATAGAATTAATAATTATTATTATTATTTATATATAATAATAATAATATATATATATGTATATACACAAATGTATATACACAAATGTATTGTTTTGGGTTGAAATTATTGGTGTAAGGACTTAATGATTGCAAGTCATCAAATATGAGCCATTAAATATTAAATTAAATTAATCATTAAATATTTATAATGGACAGTCTTATACATCACTGACTAAATTCCTTTTTTTTTTTTTTTTTTTTGATGAGCTACAGCTAGCCGGCGAGGACATGCAGAGCGGACATCACTCACTGCGAGATCTGTTGGAGAGCAATGCCAATGTCATTAGCAAAGTAAACCGCACCTTAAACTCATACAGCGGCTTGATTGACGGACTAAAGACAGACACGTCTCGGCTCCAGATGGACCTTCAGGTGCAGACGAGCGAACAGGGCCGAAACACCCACAGCATCAGCACTCTGAACTTCACTCAGACCCAGCAGAGGAACCTCATCAGCTCTCTCCAGAGGTCGGTGGAGGACACTAGCCAGGCTGTCCAGAAGCTTAAGAATGACTATCAGAGCCTTCAGCAGGTGGCTAGGCAGACCAAAGCGGATGCTGACTGGCTGAGGGAGAAGGTCCAGAACCTTCAGGCCTTAGCTGCTAACAATTCTGTGCTGACTCGCTCTAACAGTGATGCTCTGGAGGACATGACCTCTCAGCTGAACTCAGTCTCAGAGCAGGTGCAGAATGCCTCGGGCATCGCCGACAGCCACGAACAGAGCATCCGTGAGCTCATGGACCAGCAGCGAGACCACGACAATTCAACCTCCTTGAAGTTTGATGCACTAGAGGCACATCTTGACCGCAACGAGGCGGAAATGGACCGCATAACGGGGAATGTAAGCTTCACCACGCAGCTGCTCGGAGTGATCAGCGTGGATCTGAATGGTCTTCGCACCTGCTCCGAGACAGTGGCCCAGCATTCGGACCTGCTGCTGGGGCTGAACAGCAGTGTGGCAGAAACCAGAGCCGACAACACAGAGCTCAAAACCCAACAGGAAGAACTCACCGCTAGGCTCGACAAAGAAGTCAGCAGCCTCTCCATAGTCATGGAGGAAATGAAACTGGTCGACAGCAAACACTCGCAGCTCATCACGAATTTCACTATCCTTCAGGGTAAGATCTGAGGCTAGGCCTCTATTTATTTAAATATAAACACTTGTTTTAAAAAGATTTTGTTATAGGCCTATATATAATTTAATCATTCCTAGGGTTGGGTAACGTACCTATGTAACCGGTATGTACTAGAACCGAATCAGAACGCAGATTTCGGTGCCACTTAAATGCCCGAGCGATCGATTGAAATATTTGTCCTGGTTCTCTGAAATGGACAATAAGACGCATGGGCGTCGCTAGGCCATTTTTAGCTGGGCCATAGCGATTAGCTCCATAAACTCTACACAAATTCATGATCGCCTCAGAGTCAGTCCTCTTTAAATTTCATATGAAAACCGCGGCAGACTTTTCGTCTCCTCCCCGTCTTTCAGCGCGCTCTTCAATTCCGCAGACCGCGGCGGCGCAGCGCGACCGGGCTCAAACATAGGACACAAAGTGTGTGTTTATCGATAGATTGTTATAATATCTGTATCTGTGCAGTTCTTTGTCATAAATACAGTTTACAAAAGGTCACGAGGGAGCAATCGGTTTCCCATCTACTGTAAAGTTTTCGCTGCGTTCACCCATCATCACACCACAGCTGTTTCCTCCAGCGGAAATCTAGCCCTTAACACATATGAACGCATACTATATCACCGATCATGTTGCTATTTTCAGAATTGACGCGCTGTTAGATTTTTGGAGAGGTGCACGTCAGGCTACGGCGTATGGGTGTGCGTC